ATTTATGTAAGTGAGGATGGCAAAATAAAGTAAACTGTGACAAATCATACCCAAAAATTCTTCATACAGTGGACTACCAGTAAAATTGATACAAATTTGGGACCAAAAATTATTCAGACCAAGCCTGGGAAAAAAAAAATTAAGTTCAGGTTTGCATGAACCTGGAGACTACAGGCTGTCATTAAGGCTAAGGGTTGCCCGACTAAGTATTGATAGTTGTGTAAATACTGTCATACTAACAGCTGTCTGAATAATTTTTGGTTGATTGTAATCTATTACATACCTTTCTATCAAAGTTATCTGACATTATCAAGCTGAATTTGTTCTGACACAGTTTAACTCTGAGTTCTTGTCATATTTTATTACCATTTTCTAAACTATAGCGAATAAACTGTGATAATGTGAGAAAAGATGAAGGTGTCTAAATAGATTTTGGTTTGACTGTATCTATTTGATAAATGAAGTTAACCAACTAACATTATACATACCCTTTTGGTTTCTGTACCCAATATTTAAAAAATGTACAAATGCAATAAAAATATCGGTATCGGTACTCGGTATCGGCAAGTACCAAAAATAAAAGTATCGGTATCGGGCGAGTACTGGAAAAAGTGGTATCGGTGCATCCCTAATTATTATAAGCTAACCGTTGTGAATCGGGCTAAAGTAAGGCGATAGTTTTGAACATTGGCTGGTTATGTACTTGCTCAAATATTGATTTTGGATCATTTTTAACCCCAAAAAAAGTTACGGACTGCAGCTTTAAATAAAATTAAAATAAATATTAATAAATTAATAAATATTAAATGAAAAGTTAAAAACGAAAATTAGAAATGTAGCTTTGCCAACTAATGAAAATAATTTAATTTGAAGTACAAATTTTACCAAAACCTAATAAAAATGTGCACATATCAAACTTAATTTTAAACTAGATGTTTTACCAATTATTTTTAGAGGGTTCTTATAAGGCGTTAAGCATGAATACACCTCTGGTAGTAACAAAGCAAACAAGCAGTGTGGAAAAGTCTTATGCTTTGTCACCAGAGTAACATAGTTGTCAAGCAGCATTAATCTGTTATATTATCACATGCCTGATTTTCCCCACACATAGTGACAGGGGAGTCAGGCAGATTATCTCACATTTCCTCATCGCACACAACAACACAAACAGATATGAGATATGAG